GTCGGAGGCAGCTTTCACCCGCTTGCAAGGAGGACATATCTCCCGCCTGTCTTGCTGTTTACACCTGTTTGTAACACCCTCTCATAACTTTGGTTACCGCAAATATTTTTTTTGAGGGGGAGGGGGGGGAGGGGGGTTTGTTTACAAGCACGTGAAGGTGAGTGTGAGGGAGGGGGGGGGGGGGAAGCGAGTGTGTCCCCTCACAGTGTGAGGGGGAAGCGAGTGCGTCCCTCACAGTATGATAGGGGGGAAGTGAGTGCGTCGCTCACAGTATGAGGGGGGGGGGAAGTGAGTGCGTCGCTCACATTCCTGGCGCGTCGCTGTGTACCTGCAGCGTTGCCAGCGCCGCCACACACAACTTATCAGTATTCACTGACTCTTTTACGCTACGATTTATTTATTTATTCTGCATTTGCTTTCCCAGCGTTGGTATGCCGGCGTGTGCGTGGGCAGCATGCACGTCGCCTCACACTAGGCGGCTCACAACCTACATTACCATTACCTAGACCCTCAGTGTGAGAGCAGCTACGGAATGCGCTGATGGCTAACACTCTCGCGTAAGGCGTCCGTTGGGATATCCTTATTCAAATTAAAAAATTCAAATTCAAATTTTTAGTCAGGAAGAGTAGATACGTAGATGATTTGCAAATAATGTTGGATTTATAAATAGAGCTACTACATACAATACCTAAAGCCACTATTACGCACAGCGTTTCGGGCAAGAAACGCAGGTCGTGGAGCTTGGTAATATGTAGGTCACCGGTTGTTTGGTCACACACACACACACAACTAGGCGAGTACACACACACACACACACACACACACATATACACACACACACACACACACACACATATACACACACACACACACACACACACACACACACACACACATATGCATATGGAATGTGCAGCTCCAGCCTGGAGTCCATACGTAGTTAAACACAAGAGTCAGAGGTATGCCACCAGACTATTCCCAGAATTGAGAGGTACGACTCACGAGGAATGGCTACGGGAGCGAAACCTGACGTCCCTGGAAGGCAGAAGAGTTAAGAGACATGTTCGCCACCTACAAAATTCTCAAGAGGAATTGACAGGGTAGACAAACTACTTAGCATGGATGGAACAAAAACAAGGGGGGACAGGTGGAAAATGAGTAACCAAAATGGGCCACAGAGACATTAGAAAGAATTATTTCAGTCAGGGTAGTTAACAGGTGGAATGCATTAGGCAGTGATGTGGTGGAGGCCGACTCCATACACAGTTTCAAATGTAGATATGATAGAGCCCAGTAGGCTCAGGAACCTGTACACCAGTTGATTGACGGTTGAGAGGCGGAGCCAAATAACCGAAGCTCAACCCCCGCAAGCACAACTAGGTGAACACAAAACTAAATCCCTAACTAATCGACCTAACTACTGGGAGGTAGTTACACAGAGTACATGTACGCGTACACACTGTGTGAGTGTGTAAATGTACTCTGGGTAACTACCGAAGTGTAGTTACAAGATGAGAGCTATGCTCGTGGTGTCCCGTTTTCCCAGTACTCTTTGTCGTATAACTCTTTGACCTACTGACGGTTTTGGCCTCCACCACTGTCTCACTTAGCTTCTTCCAACCGTCTACCACTCTTGGCAAAAGAAAACTTTCTTTTCTTTGTGTGTGTGTTCACCTAGTTGTGCTTGCGAGGGTTGACCTCTGACACTCGGCCCGCCTCTCAACTATTAATCAACTGTTACTAACCACTAATTTTTCACACACACACACACACATAGTTCTATACACCAGTTGATTGACAGTTGAGAGGCGGGACCAAAGAGACAAAGCTCAACCCCCGCAAACACAATTAGGTGAGTACACGCCAACCCGTTCTCGCACTTGCTTATAGTCAATATTGGCTTATTTAATAAGTGCATATGTGACATACTAATTTATTGTGAATATATTAGTTTACCTTGAAAAGCTTCATAGAAAACACCGACCTCACCTAACCTTCTTAGTATGTTAAGATAAGCATCTTATTGCTTCTTATTTACAATTATTACTTAACCTATCAACGGTATAGGTTAAGTAATTGTAATTAAGAAGCAATAAGATGCTTATCTTAACATACTAAGAAGGTTAGGTGAGGTCGGTGTTTTCTATGAAGCTTTCCAAGGTAAACTAATATATTCACAATCAATTAGTATGTCACATATGCACTTAATAAATAAGCCAATATTGACTGAAGCAAGTGCGAGAACGAGTTGTACACACGAAGCAGCCCGTACAGCTGTTTAACTCCCAGGTACCTATTTACTGTTAGGTAACTGGGTGAAAAAAAAAACTGCCAATTTGTCTGCCGGCGCCGGGAATCGAACCCGGGCCACAGGATTACGAGTCCCGCGTGATGTCAACTCAGCTACCAGACCCCTTCAGCTACACAGTGTGTGTGTGTGTGTGTGTGTGTGTGAGAGAGAGAGAGAGAGAGAGAGAGAGCAGCCCCGACACTTACGTCAGCCGTCTCCGGCTATTCTCATACCCAAGAGAGTGAAGCTGTGACGCAAGAGAGTCAGTACTGGAGGTGCCTGGCGAGCAGTACACCAAGACCATCTTACCGGGGCTAATGACCAGTACTCCAGGGGACTAACGAGGCAGCGACCAGGGCCGCCACAACCATCATGTCTTGGTGCTTGTAACCACCTGCTCCCTCCTACTAATATACACTTATGGACCCCAGGTAAGTCACCTATTGTACTGTTTTTATAATCCGGAAATAATAAAGCTAAAAATCAAATTTAAATATTCCTAGGACTAGTATAGTACACGTATGAACTATCTTAGGCCTCAACGATACTTTTTGGGTAATTACAAATGATGGATTATATCCAAAGGCTTTTTGTCTGGGCGGTGGTAATTTTTTCTCACCCTCTAATATACCAATATTTCTCCCCCTCTCGCTCCCCACCCCACCACTCCCTCTCCCTCTCTCCCCACCACCTAATTACTCATCTCCCCCACACCACCACTTATCACACATTACGTCTCATTCCTTTCTTATATCGCTTACTCCTCTTCTCCCAGCTTTCTCTCCCCCACCCCTTCCCTCTCACCTCTCCCCTCACCCAACCTATCCATCAAGATAACTTAATGTTTCCACACGGGAGACATCTCCCGTCACGCAGGGTGCAGTCGCACCTCCACAGATCTCCAGTATCATCTATTGATACTGGTAATGGCTCAAAAGGGCCACCACTTACGGGCTATTCATGCCCGTGCCACCTTTTGGGTGGCTTAATCTTCATCAATCAATCAATCAATGTTTCCAATTTGTCTTACACATGACTGTTTACAGTCCTCCAGCGTCCGGGCACCGAGTTATGTGACACATTTACACGCGTTTACAAGTTAATGAAGATTTCTGCCCAAGTTTAGAAGTATCCACAAATATAAGAAGTCTTGGCAACAACTTTCACAAGCAGTTCATAAACGATGCCTTTGTAAATAAGTTAACTGATGAATCAGTGTCGTTGGAGAATATATATATTTTTAGAGATTTATGTCATCGTGCTAAAAGCCTCATTTGTATTTTGCCGGTTTAACTGGGCTGCAGCAGCCACGGGCATGACAGCCACGGGGCATGACAGCCACGGGGCATGACAGCCACGGGGCATGACAGCCACGGGGCATGACAGCCACGGGGCATGACAGCCACGGGGCATGACAGCCACGGGGCACGACAGCCACGGGGCACGACAGCCACGGGGCACGACACCCAGGGGCACGACACCCAGGGGCACGACACCCAGGGGCACGACACCCAGGGGCACGACAGCCAGGGGCACGACAGCCAGGGGTATGGCAGCCACGGGGTATGGCAGCCACGGGGTATGGCAGCCATGGGGTATGGGTAACCAGCCGCCAACACACCACGGGTCACGTACTGTCCCCAGCTCTCAGCTCTGGTGGAAGACATTCAGCCGTCTTAATAAACCCCAGAGCCTCGCGGATAATGTTCGTCACCTTACAAGCAAGACAGGTTTGAAATTTATAAGGAGTGTCATTCATGAATGGACGTCTCGGCTGCACGCTTGTCGCAGGCTGTTGCAGAGCTGAGGAGCACCAGGAAGGTCTCCCGGGACCCGGGTCGAGGTGTGAAGTCTGGCACCGTTGAAGTAGTCACCGGGTTAATAACATTATTCAACATTTGTTAAACGAACACTCAGTGGGTCAGTTGCCACTTGAAGCCTGGTATTAGTATTGGTCTTGGGGGGAAGACTAAGCTTATGGGTTGCATGACTTAGTGTTGTCAAGGGGATGCTAATGAACTTGACCGCAGACACGCAGCCCAGCAGATGGAGGGTTGGGGAGGAATATGTTATGTCCTCTACTCTCTCACCTCCGCTCCCGCCCCCAGCCTCCATTATCTCTCACTCGTGTCCACAACACACCCGCACTCTCATACAATGCCTTTCACTCGTCTTCAATCACTGGGAAGTGTATCGTCTGTAGCAACTCTTCCCTCCCCCCCTTGAGTGATGACCACCTCCACCCCCCTTCCTCGAGTGTTGGCTACCATCTCCACCCCCCCCCCTCCCTCGAGTGCTGGCTACCACAGAAACGCCCTTAGCCTGTTCCATTCCTCGTGGGACCTTTCCGTTCGCTGTTCTCCCCCTCTGGAAAGGCGATTGTCTTTCCATCACTAGAGACACTCTTACATTCCCCAGAGTACCACTTAACTATTGCAGGACTCTGGTCATTCACCAGCCGGGCCAGCCACAGGCCTGGACTGAGCCCCTCTCAAGAATATCTTTCCAAAACGCAGCCAGTATGACACCCGACACCAGAACTGTCAAGGCTCGGCTGGTAGTGTCTTAGTTTCCTTGCCACATTCTCAACTCTCCTTACACACAATTGTTACACTGGTAACAAAGGCAAAGTCTTGGGAGTAAATACAGTAGTCACAGGATGAGAGGGAGCCACCACCAGGAGCACAGGAAGAGCAGACGAGGTACTCACCGATCTTCTTGTTGATGGTGATGGCGGGTCCCAGCTGGGAGTCAGAGAGGACGGCCGCCACGCTGAAGGTGTAGTCGGTGTTGGGGTGGATGCAGTAGTTGCAGTCCTCGGGGTTGAGGGTGAAGCTACACTGCTGCTCGGTACACTGTGGGAGGATACACACACGTCTTTACTCATTCGGTTCCTCATGATTAAGGTGTGTTGTTGGGTAAGCCGCTAATCTCAATGTTGAGCACTTTACAGGTTTATGACTAGTCTCTGAATTTATCTTACTGTTGTGAGGCTGGATAGCTGGTGGTGGATGTGGTGAGTGAGGTGTGTAGTGGTGAGTGAGGTGTGTAGTGGTGAGTGAGGTGTGTAGTGGTGACAAACTAGCGGCGAGTGTTGTTTCAAGTCATTCTCACCACGTTCCAAAAGCGGTAGTGACAAGATATATATACTCAAAATATAAATAATTTAAGGCCAAAACAAGCTCATTCAAATCGAGTAGTAGTAATGTGAAGGAGTTGAGGAGCCCCTCCTTGACCACCTCTGTCAAGTGCTTCTCCTTGCGTGTGAGACTCTCCACAGCTGTGACTACTCGTGTCAAGAAGAGTGTACATGGTGAAGAAGAGAGGAATGAAGAGAGAAGAGCTGGAAGGATGTGTGGAGATGCTGTCTCTTTTTAGATAAGACAAAATGGCTTACATGAGCCCTACCTGATCATATGTCTTTTACAGTTTTGTGGTTCTGTTGTTTCCCTTAAAGCGGTGGTGTGTAAGTTGATGTACCCACCTAGTTGTGCTTGCGGGGGTTAAGCTTCGACTCTCTGGTTATGCTTCTAAACTGTCAACTGGTGTACAGGTTGCTGAACATATTGGGGTTTGTCATATCTACGTTCGAACCTGTGTATGGATTCAGCCTCCACCACATCACTGCCTAATGTTGATGTCATGGTGGTGGTGATGTGTACTTGTCCACTTTGTCTTTGCTACTGACACTGACAATGTGCATAGTGAGGAGAACGTGAGTGGGAAGAGAGCTGAATACAAGGGGGTGTAGTGATGATATAATTAAAGGCGGGGGAAGAGAAGAGGTAAGTGGAACAGACGTAGGGAGAGGAATGGTAAATTTGGCCAAGGCAGGTGTGTCGTTGTTTGTTGACATTTACTTCTTGTCTTTGTAACGAATGTCAACACTGGAGACTATATTATCTTACTAAACTGTCCGATCCTTTACTTTACCTGGTTTGTTATATTCTTTGTGAACAAATTACAAAAATATTAACTTATGTTCTCGCATTAGAATTGTATTTGTAATAATCATCTTTATTTATAATTCTATTATCACTCATCAATTATAGGATCCAATAACCATTATTTTATAATTACTCTCTCACTGCTCAGTCATCGCCTTCCTCTAGACGTACGCCAGTCCTCTTATTCCTTCCTTCCTTCCTTCCCCTTATGTTAAACTCTATTCCTCCCATCTACCTCATTTACAACCAGACCTCTCCCTGACTGCTCAAAGCTCTACCCTTTCCCCCTTAATGTGTTGCAAGTTTCTTACCCTCATCTCAGTGTCGTAAGAGACAGATCCGCCAAGGAGGACGAGGATATAGGAGGTGATGTCGCCGCTGCAGGCAGGTCGCTGCCACTCGAGGACCACGTTGGAGAGGCGCTCGTTCACAGACAACTTGCGGGGCTTGAGGTGCTCGGTGCTGTCAGCTGCTCAACAACAACAAAACACATTACAGGAGGGCCACAACAAAAGTTGTACAGTTTCATAAAACATCAACAATAGACTGAAGTGGTATGCAACTTGACGCCTTGTACAGATGAAAACTTATGTACACACAAAGACTTAATAACGTGAACGGGTTGTTGAGCCCGTTCTCTTCTTTTGCTATACTAAATCTAACCTTTTAAGCTAACCAGAAGTATACGAGGCCAAGCAGCTAGCCTAATCTATCGAGGCCAATGTATAGAAAACCTGAATATTTGCAAGTCGTGTCTTCTTAATAGGCTGCATTTGTGACGTTAGTTACGATAACGTATAAAAATGCGGCCTATTAGTTAAGATGTCAGGCTGAACAAGCACTTTCTGCTCTTCAAGTAAAATTAAAATCTTGGCCAGATATTAAAATTCACTTATAATTCTGATAGACCTCTTAAAATTACAGTTCAATATATTTAAGAATGTCCATAAAAGACTATCTTCGAGTCGTTATAATAATATACATAAATGACAATACGCTTTAACTTGTCAGTTATCCGAGTGCCAGATGTTTCACTCACGCCTGCATTCTGATACACAGTTTCACTCACACCTGCACCCTCATACAGGTTTCACTCATGCCTGCACTCTGATACACAGTTTCATCTAACTTAACCTAACATAACAGAGTGCATTAAGCAGGGAATAAATTAAAAAGAAATGTGCCAGTGAGGGAAGACTTGCCCAAAACGCAATGCGTTAGTGGCTTTGCAAGAATGTAAAAATATCACTAATGTAATCTCACCAACCCATTGTACCTTATTGTAAATAAATAAATAAATAAATAAATAAATAAATAATAATAATAATAATTAATTATTATTATTATTATTAAGAATCTAGCGTATAGATGACCCAGCAATCTTCCTCTATACTGGTAAATCCCATCCAAGAGATGGCTAAAATCTCTTGGATGGGATTTCTCTAATCTAATAAAATCTCTAAAATTCTGTCAAAATGTTCTAAAATGTTCTATTACAAACACGGTGCTTACCACTTTAGCCCAAAATCAAACTGGTCACAATACACACACTCTAAAACCATAACATCCCATTGTGATGTATACTTCTTAATACTGTATGTAATGTTACCAAGATATCAACACACACACATATTTAGCTGGTGGTAGGAAGAGGACCTAGCTGTCTTTAACACAATGTAGATAAATATATTATGATAAAATAATTATGTATACTGTATACATACTAATGTGTTCAGTAACTGTGATGGGAACACTGCGGACCAGTGGCTTTACAATATTTACCACTTTACACTATTTTCTTACTAGTATACTAATATATTACTGCTTTATATACTAATCATTTATGATTAGACAATATTAAATAATATATAGAACTTACTATACTTCCGATACTAAACTAAATAACAAATATTTTACTAAAGTTGCAAAGCCAAAGGAGCGCACTCTTAAGAAATATCAATGTTACCCCTGAAGAATGAAAGCACCTCAATCCATTTTCTTTACACACTCGTTCAGAGAAAACGGTCAACGATGACTACAGTACAGCCCAGATGAATGGACTAACTAAAGTATTTTGGATGAACCCCATTTTACATTAGATATAATCATTTATTTAATAAATATCCGATATATTTGTAATATCCTTGGCAGCTATGAACACAAAAGTATGCATGACGAAGTAATACGAGGTAAAACGGGGAAATAAGGGGAAACTCCGCTAGAAAACAGGGTTTAGGGGTTAACGTACAGTCCTTCTGACAGATCATGTACTGGAGGGAGTGGTCGGCGGGGTAGGGCTGGAGCTTGTAGCGGTAGGAAGTGTCCGGGAAGTCGTCCAGCATGGCAGCGATGGAGGCACCGTAGAGGCTGGTGGGCAGGGCGTTCCACTCGTTGGTCGACCCCACCTGCAGGAGGAGGAGAAGGGAGGCGTTCACTCAGGGTTGGCGGAGCTGCTCTCTCAGCATCTCAATGTCTCACATTCATGTTAATAATTATCATATATCAGATGCAACATGTAAATTCTAAAATATATAATCATTATATCAGCATAGGACAGAGTCGCTTAATATTCATCTCAGCACGAACCTAATACTGAATAATAATCACAAATTATCATAATTTGTGATATCAAATTTGTTATAATGTATGATATGTATCATACGATATATGTTTGATAATATCAAATTTATGATAATATAAAATTATCATAGCATACCAGGTAAATAATTACCACTCATGTTTATCAGATATAAGCCCCTGTAGCTAACTTATCTAGTGCCACTCTAATCCTGACGTCAAGCCTACAGTATACAGTACCTGTAGCCACGAGTACCCACGCCTACATATTGTCTTCAACATTAATAAAATACTTTTAGCGTTAAAATTTAATGATGTATTATCAGAACATTAATGGAATCAAACTAAATACGAAAATAGTAATAAATATGAAATGAAAGATCAATGAGACTAGTATAACACATTGCGAAGGAAGCCAGCATGGAGCCCAGAATGTCTTTGTCGGACAAAGTTACAAATCTTAACAAGAGGACAGAGCCTAACAACTATACTAATAAATAATTCCTTAGTAAAACATGTTCGTACAAGTTCCTGACACGAAGATTAACGCCTGTATCATGAAGCATGCAGCAATTTAATAAGATTTTTCTAAACTATAATCTATTACTGCAAAAGGTTCATTCTCTAGTAGTTTTGAATTGATTTTTAGTTGTCAGGAACAGGAAGCACATTTAGCTTATTGAGGTCCCCATAGCCGAGTGGCGAGGTCACCCAGTGGTGATGTAGCCAGACCCACCGGACTAGTGGGTCCGGAGGGACTAGCCAGACCCACTACGATAAAGTGGGTCTGGGTAGGACTAGCGGAGGGTTTGGCTTAGGCATCATAGCTATACACCCGTGATCCCTAATCTCGTATTTTTTCACACTGTGGTTCTCTGTTGTAAGTAGTTTGTTGACACTATGGGTGGCAGCTTACCGAGAGCCAATCACAGAAGCTGTTGGCCTCGCACTTGGTGCCGTCAGCGTAGAGCCAGTTACCTGGGGAGTCGCAGCCGTTCCTGGAAGAGAAGGAGGCACACTTAATACAACCTTAACACACTTTGATGTACGCTTAAAATACTTGAATAGATGCTCAACTCTTCCTGACACACACCTGCTACTCTTGTGGGGAAACAACGCAGAAAATCTATCGTATGAAATAAATTAATATAAATTAAATTTAAAAACCTGGTGGAAACTCTTCAAAAAAACCTTGTATTACTTGCACCAATATGTTGGACACCATCGTCAATCCTTCGGTGATACCCGGTCTCTCTTCCACTGTTCTCTGTGTGTACCCGACCACCGCCCCTCTACCATGGTAGTGTACCCGACCACCGCCCCTCTACCATGGTAGTGTACCCGACCACCACCACCTCTACCATGGTAGTGTACCCGACCACCGCGCCTCTACCATGACAGTTGCTACCTGCGGCATGCCCCGTACCCCCCCTGGGGAAGAGGCTGCCCCGTGTTGGTCCCGCCAACAGTGTATGCAGGGGCGGCCAGGCCAACCGGTTTACCTAAGTGACTCTGGAGTTTTCAGTTATTCAGTGCAGGATTTGCTTCTCATGGTTTGGTTCGACTTCTCTTGACTAATATGGGCAGTTTTGTTTTCCTTTATAATTCTTTACTACTTTTAAAAAGACCCGAGTTCTTTTCAGCTCCTACATTCGTTATAACTAACTTATATAATTAGTTCTATAATATTTTTGTTCACTATTTCAAAGTTGCATATAATCATATAAGAGATGATATTATAAGATGATTTCGGGGCTTAGCGTTCCTGCGGCCCGGTCCTCGACTAGGCCTCCTTTCTGTTACACCCCCCCCCCCAGGAAGCAGCCCGTAGCAGCTATCTGGGAGTTAAATTGGTTACACCTAGGTACCCATTTACTGCTAGATGAACAGGCCCATCAGGGTGAAAGAAACTGCCCATTTGTTTCCGCGTCCACCGGGGATCGACCCCGGGACCTCAGGACTACGAATCCAAAGCACTGTCCACTCAGCTGTCAGGCCCCAGGTGGTAATAATATTCATCCCCGTGTCACCTTGTCGGGTGGACAATGATCAGTCAGCTCAGACTATTTGTTGGGAGACGTCACCACAGTCGGGATGGGGTGGGTGGTGGGGGGAGGATGAGGGGGGCGTTTCATAAAGGTCACCTATGTTGGGGGGGGTCATAAAGGTCACCTATGTTGGCGGGGGGGGGGGGGGAGGATCATAAAGGTTATCAACATGGTGCGTGATACAGGTGACCACCACGGGGGGGGGGGGGGTGGTGAACCACTACCATGAGAGACAATCAGGGCCAGTACATCTCCCAGGAGCTGACTCAAGAGACGGCGAGGCAAACTGGCCACCTAACATACCTTTGTCAACAGATAATCTAATAGATAAACCCAAAATATACACCAACAGGTCAGCCAACAGAAGACCAGGCGACGCAACAGGAGAGCCAACAGACAAGCCCAGCGAGAGAGACGCTTACAAGTGAGGCGGGAAAGAGAGTTAAGCAAAGGTCTCCCGACAGTCTCCAGGTGACCGCGCAAGCTTGCCAGGCAGCTAAACCTGTACACCTTGGTCCCCGGGGCCACATTCTTGCCCTGCCGGTGAGGTGGTGGAGGGGGGAGGCAGGGAAGGATGAGGGAGGGGGAGGCAGGGACGAAGGTAGGTAGGAAGGGAAGGAAGGGAGATGGAAGAGGAATAGATAAAAGGTAAGGAAGGAGGGTGGCCAAGTGACATTACCAATGTTTATCCTCCTCGACTCTACACGATCTGTCCCACCAGTCTCTACACTGACCAGCTGTGGCTCAGGGACCCCCGTACACTGACCAGCTGTGGCTCAGGGACCCTCGTACACTGACCAGCTGTGGCTCAGGGACCCCCGTACACTGACCAGCTGTGGCTCAGGGACCCCCGTACACTGACCAGCTGTGGCTCAGGGACCCCCGTACACTGACCAGCTGTATGTGTACACACACACACACACACACGCCCTACGTATTAAATACACAACGAATCTCCTCCAACAATAAAATTACATACATCATAGGAGACTGACAACCCGCCGGCTTCCTGTCCCCGTCAAGGCCACTCGATAAATAGTGGCCTTCAGGTAAATGCCCCAAACTCTGAATCGAGTGACTCTACACACTATTCCAATTGTATTGCTGAGGCTTCGAGAAGGACGGAAACGACCTAACCCTCTCATGGGCCTAGAGAGGGTACACGCTTGTACCGCATTAGGCCGAATGTTGTGTATATTAGGCCTATGGCTTCTTATATTAGGCTAAGAAGGGGTTAGGGTGTTGTCTTCTTTTTCATGTGTTTAGTACAATCTTTAGTACAATCGTGGCCTTCATCTTAGAGGTGCGGTGGTGCTGTGTTTGTGTGTAGAGTTATCTTCACTTCGGACGCCTCGTAATGTACACACTGTCTTAACTAAACTGTAGTTATTATCTTGACAATACGCAGCCATGGTCCTCCTGTGTGCCTTCTGACCTCGGGACAGTTTAGAGGTACACTCTACACAGTAAACACTACACACAGGCTAACAAACAGCTCAATACAGAGCGTCTTTGAGAAACACACAAGCAATTACCAAGGTAAACAAGCACATTAATTATGAAGGATGAAGAAAATATAACTATTCAATCCCAGATATATATATATATACGATGATGTTCAAGTGAAACCTAAGTTCCCTCTCCTGTACAGTAAGAACTGCCTGGGTACGACACCACTACTGGATACAGTCTGCGGGGGTAAGTAAACAAGCCCAGACGTCTCCATCAGGCCGGGAACCAAACCTATGAACATTCAGTTGTGTCGACCATGCTGATTTAATCAAGCTTACAAAAATCAGGACTCCGCTCCACTAATGACACCACATTCACTACACCAGAGGAGAAATACTCAAGATACACTAGACCAGGGGGGGAATACACAAGACCTACACACACTAGACCAGAACAGATAGACAAAGTGTAGGCTGCAACATTAAACAGGATATAATAATCTTCCCAAACACGGTGTGGAGTTTTACAACCGTCCTCGTGGTGAGCCGAGACCTACACGCGCCATGGTCATTGTAACCATTTTTCTCGGGACGTCAGAAATACAGCCACACCCACTGTGGGTCAGGTCGCTATCCCGTCATCGTTATCTTGCAGAATATTACCTTTTACATCTACAACCTTCCCAGTTCTGCACGGGAGGATATTAGAACACTGCACTTTTCGAAATCTTGAAAAACTGCCCTAACACGGCCCTTGTGGATTTATTCATTTGGTGCATCACGCTATTGTGATTTCTGTGTGTACTAAAAGCTTGTTTGGCCAGGTTGGTCCTGAGTGGTACCCGGCTATAGGACACTTTAGCATATGCTGCCGTTGTCATTCTGTTGATGTGTGCCTCTGGTGTTAGGTTTCCAGGTATTACCACACAAGTCACGCTTCTCAAGTGAGAAGCTGCCTTCCATTCATTCTGTTCTGTTTCTTCTCCTTCTCTTACTGTCGTGATGTAGTGTGGACGAGGTCCTTGTCCTACTGTTACAGTGCCATGTGGACAAGGTCCTTGCCTTACCACATACACCGGCCACTGCAGTAAGGTGGCCCTCTGACCTCTGGCGGGAGGGCCACCTTACCAAAGAGACAATTACACCTCACCCTGACCACAACTTTCCTAACGAAATCAGAGTGCAGCAACATTGCCACATTTCCTGTTCTCGTTACAGTCAAAGGTTTACGGCACACACATTGTACCTTTGGTGTGTTGGTTCTTGGGGCTCTTTTAAAACCAGCACGGGTTCACCTCTGCCTGCTGTGGTTCACTACGGCCTCACCTCGCACTACTAATACTCTTTATTCTTTGTTATAATATGATTATTTTTATTTTTATTGCACATCACTTATCAGTTTAGTCGCTGGAGGCCGGACTGCACCTTTTTGTATAGTTATCTGGAGCAATATGTTTACTGTCAGTTCTACATTATTATAATCAAGTTGTTATTCTAATTATACAATAATATTATATTGATATAATTTATTTATATTAATATAAACTTTAAAATTACTAACAACATTTATATGTTAAATTAGTTCTATCGAAATATAATTGAAATAAAACATGAAGTTTTCCTAATAAAAAAGTAATAAAAGCGTCACCAAACATCCAGAACTAACAAAAACAATTTATAAAATAATCCGTCAAGTTACCTTGAGAATACTATACCTGAACACACAGATCACACTAACGTGATGCATCAAATGAACAAATCCACAAGGGCCGTGACGAGGATTCGAACCTGCGTCCGGGAGCATCCCAGACACTGCCTTAGTCGTAGCTCAGTCGATTAAGGCAGTGTCTGGGATGCTCCCGGACGCAGGTTCGAATCCTCGTCACGGCCCTTGTGGATTTGTTCATACTATACCTGAACCCCAACGTTAAGGTGTTTGGTTATTAGGTCGAGACAAGAGGTGAGGCAATCACCAGGGAGCTGGATCAGGGCTAAATGAATCAACACGGTCAGCCGGGGGTCACAAGAAAGGTCACGAGGTCACCTACAGGAGCACTGACCAGTCTTGGCCACCACAACTATGCAACACCTTAACAGTGAGCTAAAACCCGCTTGAGTAATACCACAAAACAAGTGGTTTATTGAGCACAGGTATGCAATGGCCTCTTATCTTATATTTATGTTCTTGTGCTTATCTATTACTGCTTTGTTGCCTAAATTGTAGAGTAGTTGGTGGATGACTACCCGAGTACACACACTCATTAACTTGGGTAGTCAATAACTACCTGATCACACACACACATGGAGAGGTGGGAGAAGATAACTACCAAATCACTTACTGGCACATGAGGCCTATGAAGGCCCGGCGGTACTGAGAGTCGATGGTCTCTGAGAGGTGTGGTCTGAGCAGCTCCTTGAGGTAGTTGTGCACCTGCAGCGTCTTGTCCGTGGCCAGCGCCGCCCCCTCCGTCTGACACCTGCGGCAGGAGGCAAGGGTGAGATAAAGGCAGGTGTAGGCGAGAGCAACCGTGCTGGGAGAGGTAAAGAAGCGAGGTGTGAGGGGGAAGAAAGAGCGTGGAGAGAGAGAGAGAGAGAGAGAGAGAGAGAGAGAGAGAGAGAGAGAGAGAGAGAGAGAGAGAGAGAGAGAGAGAGAGAGAGAGAGAGAGAGAGAGAGAGAGAGATGCTGCAAGGAGAAGTGGTGGGTGAAGGACTGGTTTAACGGTGTTCTGAGAGTACAGTTATAGTCCTGTGAGAGGGAGGTGTGAGAGGTGGTTTGTATGAGACGAGAGATATACACGAATGAATGAGATTATGAGAGCTGAGTAGTGTCTGACGGTTTGAGTTGACTGAAAGGTAGATGGACCTGAAAGTGTACAATATGTAATGAAAACCATCATTATCAAGCTACCTTCATCACCGGACGAGAAAAGGTAAACAAATCAAGGCATCTTATCAGCCGTTGCCAACATCCGGGAATAAGTAATGGTAATATCTTCTCAGATAACAACAAAAGGCTGATTACGCGTTGAGACTAAAATTTCGTCCTAACCACATACTTAGGACCTAGACAAAGTACTCAGGAGAGCGCAAAAGACTGTAAATCTTTACGTAACATTCACAAATACATAAGTATGGGGTTTTACCCTAACCTGTAATGTTCATTAGTCAATCGATAAAGCTTAGATAAGCCGTAGCTAACACTATCGACCTGGCAACACCGTTCACTAGTAAAAAGTATTCATCCTTGACACAAAATATTAATTGAACAAGCTGGTAATCAGATGACAGAAGTTGCAACCCTGATTCAATACCAGAACACTAACTTCACAAATAAAAGTTTAATCTGCAACAGTAAATATGAAGATAAAATCATCTGGCAACTTGGAGTGTTGCCACCACTAGAAGAACAGGTTTATCTAGCGAGTACTCGCTAATGAGAGAAATCCGCAGCTGTTCTGACCAACAAGTGGACCTGAAGCGATGAATATATTTGTCATCATTATCTTCAGCCATGATGCATCAATCTCTCGTTCTTCACTAATTTATTATCAACCAATTATTCTGTCTTGTTAATTTAACTGTCCCACAATTCTTCTATTCTCTGACAATTTAATATTATGTTGGTATTTTCGTAAGGTATTGTATTTCATATTGGCTCATCAACTTACCCAACATTATTCAAACTTTATTTCTCCTGACTGTATTAAACAATATTTTGTTTCGCGATCCAAATAAATTATTTTACTTTACAAACAAAAATACACATAATTTAAATTTGAAATTAAATTATTATTTCATATTAACGACTGGTATTATCAGCCTGATCAATGTGATGAAGTAATATGTTAGTTGTGATGTATAAACATAGATGGCGGGGCGGAGGCACTCCATTATCATTATTGAAGGTTTGACCCTTCCAGCACAGTCATGTCTACTCCCCCGTGGCACTAGTGCCAGCCACCACCGCTAGTCTACGTGGCCCCCGAGGGCAAGTGACGTGTGGCACTACGTCAGACAGGAGAGGGAGGGTGAGGCATCATTAGTGTGCTCAGTTACTGGATGGGTGACAGAAATTGATCAAGCTGTTCTAACCGTATCCCCAGCTCTAGCATTTACACACAACCGTCAACTCTTATCCTTCCAGAGACCCAACCATGTGTCCCATTAACTTCCGCATAACCTGGCTATAATCCCTACCCTCTCTCAGTAACAGCCGCGCTCCTGTGTAAGTCCACTACGGGCTCGCCATAGCCCGTGCTACTTGGAACTTTTGTTCTGAGTAGCTGAATCTAAAACAACAACCACCTACACTCTCATGGGGACGTAGATCTAACCCTCTCATCCGTTTCTACCACCAAATCATTGCCTTTTTACTTCCCTTTCTTCCTAGGTCCACCTCCCTGCGGGTATAATCACCACCCGCCCCCACCTCACCCTCTCCAAACTTTCTGGTATATCCCGCCCCTGGAAGGACGTACTTTCTCTGGGCGGCTGTGAAGTCGATGGGGGCGTCCGTCTTGATGACCTTGTAGCACTGGTCCTGGAACTTGCTGTAGCCTGAGGCGCACACATCTGCAACGACACAGGTTCTCAGTCATCACATGTCTTCCACCAATTATTATCCGCCACAGTTAACACATTATACAACTCAAAAATTTACCTAATCAGCTCTCCCTAGTTATCAAATTCTACCATTTGTTCCTTGAATTAGCCGACAGTTATCAAATTCTACTATTTGTTCCTTGAATTAGCCAACAGTTACCAAATTCTGGGAATTAGTATAGTCGCTTTAAATGCTACGAAATTAGTGAATCTCTAAACTTTAGAGACATAAGCTCTATTTGGAAAGCCAAATGTCAAATGTATGATTTTCGAAATGACAGTTATATACGTTAGTAAACAGAAGAAAATTTGAAATTTGATGTCAATTAAAAAAATCGATAACGCTTGTCAATGTTGCCGTCGAGAGATCAGCTTATTTAATGTTAATGCAGTAAGAAACTGGGCGTAATAGGCTTGACATTTAAACTAATGCTACAGTGTGTGTGGGATCAGGCTCCTCACACATAATTATTACTCGCCAGGACCAGGAAACGAAAAAATATCAAATATATAAAAAATTAACTGTAAGGAACAACATACCGACGACAGAAAACGGAACATTTCCAATGGTATTTATGTAAATATCCTGACAGTTGTTATTACAACCACTAATACAGCTAATACATCTACATCTACTACTACCCTACATCTACTATTACCCTACATCTACTACTACCTTAATATTACCACAATATTTCGTGTGGGTAATAACTTAAGATAAAATAATGTCTGAAAAAATAAATGCATTATTGGAAAAAACATAGAAGGAAAATCATAAATAATGAGAAAAAGAGCGAGAGAGAGAGAGAGAGAGAGAGAGAGAATACCGGTATAAGAAGGAACAATAACGGAGTAATAAGCGGGCTCAGAAACAATAACAAAAACACTAGAGAACATGGGTGAAGGAGAACAAGTCATAACACTCGGGATCAGTGCGGAGGGAGAACACTGGAGAACATGAGTTCTGAAGAACAACACTGGTGAAGGAGAACAGCTGCACCCAAAACTGAGAATCAAGAATAATAATAAAAATAATAATAAAGCAAGGCCTAAAATTAAGTACAGGAAGAGGCAGAATAAAATTGCTATATTATATTAATATATATATATATATATATATATATATATATATATATATATATATATATATATATATATATATATATATATATATATATATATATATATATATATATATATATATATATATATATTGTGTGTGTGTGCAAATCACGAAAATTAACACGATGTAAAATGTGACAGACCACGAAGGAAGAATTGAAACAGGAATTTCCTTAAGTGCTTTCGTATATTAATACATCTTCAGAAGGAATGATAATGCCTTCTGAAGATGTATTAATATACGAAATTGAGGGTTTGATTCCCTCAAACTATCGAACACCAACAAACACAAAACCCAAAATAACACGTCAAGTGAATGATACAAATAATAATAATAATAATAATAGTAATAAGGAGCACTGGTAGTGAGAGGGGAGGTGACCAGCACATAGCCCCAGGTGTGGGTCACTACCTCGGGTCACACTACACTTCTCTTACCCCTGTGTCTGCACCTCACCACGCTCTTCACTACTCTCACGCTCACAGTCTTCTCCATCTGTCTCCGACGGCTTGACGGTGTCTGCCCCACCAGTGCAGTGACTCGGGAATCGTTCTGGAGCAGTTCGGAGATTCCCGATTCCTTTGGAAGCGGAGTCAACTGTTTTAAATCACTCTGAAGCAGATCCGGTCCTCTGGCGCCGTTCCAGAGCGTCTTTGAACCCCCAGGATCTTTGTAGACCAACTCGAAGCCTCCATATTCGTTTTGAACTAATTCGAATCCTCTCGTTTCCTTCTGTTGTTGTTTCGGGACTTGAAGGTCATGGGAGGTCAGAGTGACGTTGAGCGGGACCTCGACCCGCTTGTCCTTCATCAGGAAAACGACTACGAGAGTCACTAACAAGCACACAAGCACTACGGTACACACGGTGGCGATGGGCACATGCTTGCGGACCCTTGTAAACATGGCGGGGAGCCGTGTGGATCACGACGACGTCTACTGTGCTCTCATTTTGTGAAGTCTCCTGCAGTGTCCTGCGCTATCCTCGGTTGCTCTGTTTAAAGGCTACTTGACGGCCTTGGCGCGCAGTTCCTCCTTGTCTAGCCCCCTGGTGGAGTTTCTTTACACTTCCTGTTTTCTGTGAGTTCGTCCGCGTGTGGTCCAACATTCCTAACTTCCTACTTCCTAGTTTTTAGTTTTTTTTAAACTAGGCGCGATATATTTGTTATCAAAGATGTATAGTTAATTCCACTAATTGTTACATGAAGAAATTTTTATTGTTATATATTACTGATTGCCATTTTCTATACTTTCGTCTATATATTCAAAGGTAACGCAGGTCTCTTAATCTTCGTACAGCCACGCTAAGGTTGTGGCGTGGTCTTCGTGGACACGTACACCGAGGTGTTCCTCACTCCTTTGTACACACGACCATCTTGAGGACTAGAGCACTCTTGCTAGTGAGTAAGCACTCCAGGAGGTCCTTAAACCTCTCCAGAGGTGGATAGGCCTCAACCCCAAACCAAAGTGTTCTCGACACGGCCGGCCAGCGCTCGCTACGCACTTCACACTTCACCTGACATTTACCCGTGTAAGGACAACCACACGCCACTACGGGCTCACCATAGCCCGTGCTACTTGGAACTTGTTCGGAGTAGCTGAATCTATAACAACAGCCACAACCTGTTGTACACAGGGTTTTAGCCCCGCTCCTGCGCCAGGTGAGGCCACTACGGGCTCACTCACCGTAGCCACAATCTAACAACAACAACAACAACAGCCACAACCTGTAGCCACTCGAGGTAAAGCTCAAGATGGCGGCCCTTATCCTGCGTGGCAGCTGTCTCACTCATAACTCGTTTTGTCGGGGACAGCCAGCCTGTGTGTATATATTATTTAATCTTGTATGGATGTCTTCCCCAAGCTACAACTACTGATCTTTCTCGGGATACATCCCGACAACAGCTGCCTAACACCCGGGTATCTTTTGCTGCTACGCGAAAAAAAAAATAATCATTAGGGGAATGGAAACGTGCTTAACCATTTCTGCCCCGCTCGAGATTCAAACCCGGAATTCCCCATTGCGAGTCGAGATAGATTGTGTGTACTCACCTAATTGTGCTTGCGGGGGTTGAGCTCTGGCTCTTTGGTCCCGCAACCAAGTGAGTGTGTGTGTGTGTGTGTGTGTGTGTGTGTGTGTGTGTGTGTGTGTGTGTGTGTGTGTGTGTACGCGCGCGCGCAGTGCGTGGACAAAACGTTAAAGGGTGTAATACCCAGCCCGTCCTCAAGCCAGGCTCGTTAAAGCCGCCACCCACCCCCAAAGACGCATTTATCCATTTTAACTTAGTGTATTAAAAATAGCTTTGTTTTCATTTATATATTAGTTTTATGTATAGTTAAGCATAGGTTAGGTTAGGTGTTCAGGTTCCGTTGCGATTATTTGTACTTGTAGTACGTGGGTGAAGCATTTACAGCGTTGTGGTTCGAACAAAATTCGTCAGTGAGGCACTTGTTCCGGAAGTGTTCGAACGAAATCAGTTAAGAGTCGTGTGTAAACCGTTTTTCATTCATAAACAGCTGGGGTTCGGCGGGTAGATGGAATCACTTTTGGGTCTTTGGAGGACGGGCTACATTCCAACACAGTGAACGAAGCACTGCTCAAGAAAAAATCGAACGTAATCAATTGAGTTATTTGTAAAGTGGTGTTTATTGATAAATATGAGGGAGGAGGAGGGATGAAGGCGAGTAAAGCATATAGTGAGCCGGTCGGCCGAGCGGACAGCACGCTGGACTTCTGATCCTGTGGTCCTGGGTTCGATCCCAGGCGCCGGCGAGAAACAATGGGCAGAGTTTCTTTCACCCTATGCCCCTGTTACCTAGTAGTAAAATAGGTACCTGGGTGTTAGTCAGCTGTCACGGGCTGCTTCCTGGGGGTGGAGGCCTGGTCGAGGACCGGGCCGCGGGGACACTAAAGCCCCGAAATCATCTCAAGATAACCTCAAGATGGAGAGGTTAAGAGAGATAAAGGAGAGAAGGATAACAACAGTAGAGGAGAGAAGGGGAGAGGAGGTAGAGGAGGAGAGAGCCTGGTCAAGGTGGACAAGATGTACCGGAACACGACGCCCCTCTCGTGCCTTCTTCCTCAATTTCATCCACCTACACCACCCACCTGTGTTCATCTCAGCCATCATCACACACCTTGCATCCATCTATATCCACTTACATGTACCTACACCCACCTCAGCCAAACTGCTCACTTTCATCCATCAATGCCAGCTACATTCACCTTTGCCAAACTGCACCCCCAAACTGCACCCCCATCTGTTTATATTTACAGTATATTTTTGTACCTCTTTATCCCACCTAACCCACCCACCTGCCCCGACCACCCACTCACCCAAGTACATTCATCAGCATACAAACTGACAACCAAGAAAGGAGATAATCATGGCTGTGGAGGGAGGGACGGAGGAAGGGAGAGAGGGAAGGAAGGAGGGAAGGAGGAAGGGAGAGAGGGAAGGAAGGAAAGGAAGGAGGAAGAGAAGCAGCAACATTAATTAGCGGGGGGGGGGGGGGAGGCCCAGGTCACCAAGACTGGGGCCCAGGAGCTGGGTTACTGCCACTCACATCATTACGTCACTCCACCACCCCGCACCCGCCTGCCTCTCTACCTCTGTGTACCTCTGTGTACTTCTGTGTCCCTGAGTATGTGTACCTCTGTATATGTGTACCTATGTATGTGTACCTGTGTCTGTGTACCTCTGTATATGTGTACCTGTGAATGTGTTTACTTCTGTATTCATGTGTACCTCTATGTACCCGTGTACCTATGCAATACAAACAGTAAAAAAAATATCAGAAAATAAAACACAAATTTAACAATAAACAGTATAATGTTTAACAAGACGTAAGTGCAGACAACAAACAAGAACGGAAACTAAGAAAACAAACACAGGAGAAAAAAACAACAGCAACAAGATCCAAACAAAGATAACGCAATTAAAAAAACCATAAAAGCAAGAGAACTGCCTTTCTGAGTCTTGGCAACCAGCGGTGTCGCAACCTGCCGCCAGCTGGCGCCAAGTTACGCCATTTTGGCGGCGTTTTGGCGGTTGTCGAGTGTGTAGAGTTGGCGGGAAGTGATTTAATTAAGTCCCAAGCACCTGGATTAGAATGTTGAGTCGGTGTTTGCGGGTGTTTTTGCTTGTTTTTTCCTTGGGTGTGTTTCATCACGGGGGGAGTTGCCGGCTCGTGCTAAGTGTCACTATTTTTTTGGTGAGGACCGTATATCTTGAGCAATAGGTTATCTTGAGATGATTTCGGGGCTTTAGTGTCCCGGCGGCCCGGTCTTCGACCAGGCCTCCACCCCCAGGAAGCAGCCCGTGACAGCTGACTAACACCCAGGTACCTATTTTACTGCTAGGTAACAGGGGCATAGGGTGAAAGAAACTCTGCCCATTGTTTCTCGTTTCCCATTGTATAGTGGTGAATGGTAAGTGTCTGTACTCGCCTAGTGCTTGAGGGGGTTGAGCTTCGGCTCTCTGGTCCCGCCTCTCAATTGTCAATCAACTGGTGTACAGGTACCTGATCGAACCTATTGGGCTCTGTCGTATCTACATTTGGAACTGTGTAAGGAGTCAGCCTCCACGACATCACTGCCTAATGCATTCTGTTTGTTAAGTACCCTGATACAGAAAAGTGATTTCTGTCTCTGAGGATCATTTGGGTATTCAGTTTCCACCTGTGATCCCTTGTGCGATGGATATCTGATGTTGGGATGCAGGCGAGAATATTACTGCGCTCTAGAACGTATAATTACCGCTCTCGAATGCCCAAACTATATAGACATTACAAAAAGCTTTTACTACATATATATATACACAAGAAGTATATATACAATGCTTCTATCAAAGGTGTTATTGTTTACATGCACAACTATCGCCACACATCCAGGCAGTAACAGCGCGCTAATGTAAATATGGCTAACGGTCACACCGCGGCTTTGTTTACGTCGCCATCTTGGATTGTTGCGTCATACGTTTTTTTTAAATGAGCGTGAGGAAGGAGGGTGAGAGTTAATGGGTAGTTTGTGGTCGTTATGAGTGTTCCTCTCTCTCACGAGCGTTCATGGAGAGTCTCTCACGTTCTCCCATGGATGCGAGTTGTTCTTCTCATGGTTGAACTATTGATCTACCACTATTTATCTATTGGTGTATCTATCAACTCCTTTATTTAGCGCCGCTCATCTGTCTTCCAGTGTTTTGTTTACTTAATACCCATCTTCCTCCCTCCTCCACACCACCTCCAACCGCTTGGATTAGTTGGTACGGCGACGGCCTCGCTTCTTGCAGGTCTGCACTCGATCCCCGATGGCCCATGTGGATGGGCGCTGTTCCTTCACTCCGTCCTCATATCCCAGCTACTATCCTGCCCCAATACCCCGTCCACGTGCTAAATAGTCATGATGGCTTATCTCTCCTTACAACTGCCTTTCCCCCCCCCCTCCCTCTCTCTCTCTCAGAATCCTCCCCCCTTAATTCATCCTTAATATCCCTCCCTCCTTTGTACGCTCAGAAGCCCCTTCATCCCTACCAAGACACAGTGAAGACAATAAAGTTGCCATGAGGAGAGAATGAGCAGAGAAAGGGGGAAGAAAGTGCACAGAATGGAAGAGGACGGGATGAAGGGAAGGTCACAAGGGAGGGAAATGGAGGTTCACAGCTGACCCTCATCAGGAAAGAACAGGAAGAAGGAAGCGGCTGACATTACACGACCTGGGAGGGAGAGAGAGAGAGAGAGAGACAGAGAGAGAGACAGAGAGAGAGACAGAGAGACAGACAGAGAGAGAGACAGAGAGAGAGACAGAGAGAGACAGACAGAGAGACAGACAGAGAGAGACAGACAGAGAGACAGACAGAGAGAGAGACAGACAGACAGACACAGACAGAGAGACAGACACAGACAGACACAGACAGACA